GACAGTTCTCCGTCTAGCATGACCGTGCTTTTCGTATACTCTTGTCATCTTCTTTAGCACTCTCCACATTTTCCTTTTGATCCCGTCCTTGGACAGTTGTTTCCACAGCCCATTTCTCCATACGGCATCGTATGCCTTTTTCACGTCCAGAAAAAAGCAGTACGTTGGCTTTCCCGCCCTCTTTCTACCTTGGATGATTCTCCCTACCGTGAACACGTGGTCTGCGCACCCCCTCTTAATTCGGAAACTTGCCTGGCCCTCACTAATGCTATGTTCCTTCTCCAATAATCCCACCATCTATCCTATCGTTCAGCAGCTTACAGAACACTTTTCCTACTGTGTTCAACAGTGTGATCCCCCTGTAGTTTCCTGGGTCAGTCTTGTCTCCTTTCTTAAACAAGTTCACAACCACTCCTTCCCTCCATCTACTTGGCGTATACTCGTTTTTCCACACCCAATTGTATAGCAGTACCATCAGCTGGATCATCCCCTTCCCCCCAGACTTCATGAACTCGTCGACTATCCCATCCGCTCCTGCTGCTTTGTGGTACTTGAGCTTGTTCATACACGCCTCAACCTCGTCCTCAGTGAACACCTTCTCTAGTTCTACGTTCCCAACGTCTGCCTTCGATGTCTCTTCTTCTTTTTGGGCCCATGCGTCCACCTCCTCCTTCAACACTTGGCCAAAATCTTCATTCTCCGAGGGCACTCCAAGTCTCTTGTAGTGTCCTGCTAGAACTTCCCTTTTTCCCTTCCCACTGCTGACTAATCCACCGTTCACACCTCGCAAAGTTGCTACCCCTGTATCCCCCCCTTGCGCGGTCTTTTTTACCATTCCACTAATCCCTTCCCACATCTGCTTGACGTTCCCCTCCAGGCCTCCGTTGGCCTTCTGCACTACTTTTTTCTTCTTTTTCACTACTTAGTCCCTTCGCCTCTTGTCCCTTGGCCCTGTACTTTTCTCAACTCTCCTCAGACGCCTCTCTCAGATACTGCTTGAAGACTTCTCTACGTTCCCCTATTTCTTCTTTCAGCTCGTCATCCCACCACTTAACCGATACCCCACATCGTACCACCTTCTTTCCCACTACTCTCTCTGCCGTTGCGTTCAC